TTCTCATACAGCATCTCTCCAAACTCACATTGGTTTCTCAAACAGCATCTCTGTAAACTCACATTGGTTTCTCATACAGCATCTCTCCAAACTCACATTGGTTTCTCAAACAGCATCTCTCCAAACTCACATTGGTTTCTCATACAGCATCTCTCCAAACTCACATTGGTTCTCATACAGCATCTCTCCAAACTCACATTGGTTTCTCATACAGCATCTCTCCAAACTCACATTGGTTTCTCATACAGCATCTCTCAAACTCACATTGGTTTCTCATACAGCATCTCTCCAAACTCACATTGGTTTCTCATACAGCATCTCTCCAAACTCACATTGGTTTCTCATACAGCATCTCTCCAAACTCACATTGGTTTCTCAAACAGCATCTCTCCAAACTCACATTGGTTTCTCATCCAGCATCTCTCCAAACTCACATTGGTTTCTCATACAGCATCTCTCCAAACTCACATTGGTTTCTCATACAGCATCTCTCCAAACTCACATTGGTTTCTCAAACAGCATCTCTCCAAACTCACATTGGTTTCTCATACAGCATCTCTCCAAACTCACATTGGTTTCTCAAACAGCATCTCTCCAACTCACATTGGTTTCTCAAACAGCATCTCTCCAAACTCACATTGGTTTCTCATACAAGGCATCTCTCCAAACTCAACCATTGTTTCTACAACATTCCCCCCTCTGCGTCTCTCCAAGCTCACCTTGGTTTCTCCATACAGCATCTCTCCAAACTCACATTGGTTTCTCAAACAGCATCTCTCCAAACTCACATTGGTTTCTCAAACAGCATCTCTCCAAACTCAACATTGGTTTTCTCATACAGCATCTCTCCAAACTCACATTGGTTCTCAAACAGCATCTCTCCAAACTCACATTGGGTTTCTCAACAGCATCTCTCCAAACTCACATTGGTTTCTCAAACAGCATCTCTCCAAACTCACATTGGTTTCTCAAACAGCATCTCTGTAAACTCACATTGGTTTCTCATACAGCATCTCTCCAAACTCACATTGGTTTCTCAAACAGCATCTCTCCAAACTCACATTGGTTTCTCAAACAGCATCTCTCCAAACTCACATTGGTTTCTCAAACAGCATCTCTCCAAACTCACATTGGTTTCTCATACAGCATCTCTCCAACTCACATTGGTTTCTCAAACAGCATCTCTCCAAACTCACATTGGTTTCTCAAACAGCATCTCTCCAAACTCACATTGGTTTCTCAAACAGCATCTCTCCAAACTCACATTGGTTTCTCAAACAGCATCTCTCCAAACTCACATTGGTTTCTCATACAGCATCTCTCCAAACTCACATTGGTTTCTCAAACAGCATCTCTTCCCAAACTCACATTGGTTTCTCAACAGCATCTCTCCAAACTCACATTGGTTCTCAAACAGCATCTCTCCAAACTCACATTGGTTTCTCAAACAGCATCTCTCCAAACTCACATTGGTTTCTCAAACAGCATCTCTCCAAACTCACATTGGTTTCTCATACAGCATCTCTCCAAACTCACATTGGTTTCTCAAACAGCATCTCTCCAAACTCACATTGGTTTCTCATACAGCATCTCTCCAAACTCACATTGGTTTCTCATACAGCATCTCTGTAAACTCACATTGGTTTCTCATACAGCATCTCTCCAAACTCACATTGGTTTCTCATACAGCATCTCTCCAAACTCACATTGGTTTCTCATACAGCATCTCTCCAAACTCACATTGGTTTCTCAAACAGCATCTCTCCAAACTCACATTGGTTTCTCATACAGCATCTCTCCAAACTCACATTGGTTTCTCATACAGCATCTCTCCAAACTCACATTGGTTTCTCATACAGCATCTCTCCAAACTCACATTGGTTTCTCATACAGCATCTCTCCAAACTCACATTGGTTTCTCAAACAGCATCTCTCCAAACTCACATTGGTTTCTCAAACAGCATCTCTCCAAACTCACATTGGTTTCTCATACAGCATCTCTCCAAACTCACATTGGTTTCTCAAACAGCATCTCTCCAAACTCACATTGGTTTCTCAAACAGCATCTCTCCAAACTCACATTGGTTTCTCATACAGCATCTCTCCAAACTCACATTGGTTTCTCAAACAGCATCTCTCCAAACTCACATTGGTTTCTCAAACAGCATCTCTGTAAACTCACATTGGTTTCTCATACAGCATCTCTCCAAACTCACATTGGTTTCTCATACAGCATCTCTGTCAAGCATGTGTATTCAGCAGTATTCACTCTCTCCACTAAACGACTCGTTGGAGCTCTTGCCCCCCCCTCCCTGTGAGCCTAGTGTGCTCCGATTGGTCAGCTCGGCCACTCTGTTCTGATTAGTCAACCACCAGAGAGGCTGCGCCCATGTCTAAACGGCTGCTCTCAGCCGAACATCAGTCTTATCATGGCGTCGGTACAGCCGTATATTTTATATACATATATATTTTTAACTGTTGTTATAGAAGAGTGTGACGGCCCCAGGGCCTTTGTCTTACGATGGGGTGGAGCTGAAGAGGCTAATCAGCGCGATCACGGACACCTGGCCGGAGCCGAGGTGCTAGCCAGCTGCCCGGAGTCACACGGCGGCCTCTCTCTCCCTCCATGCAGCACAGCGATCCTCTCCTGTCGACCACCTATCTCTGCATTTACCACAATAAATGTGCCGTGGTTTTGTAAACTCGTGTATGTCTCCTTGTCTTTCCGTTGTGGCCTACGAGCCGGTCATAACAAAGAGTAAGTTATTTTTACCTGTTATAAACTACTACTGTTTGATGAGAAATCAAATCATGGTTTGCTATATATGAATGATATGTTATAGGAGCAAATAATTCAGGGAAGAAAGGATAGGCCTACTAAGTATTTCCATTAAACTTTATTTTTAGAAATGTACAAAATGAACGTAAATATACATATATACACGGTATATCGTCAATTACTCCTCGTTGTGGGCATCTTGCCTATCGCAGCCGGGGCTTTTTGAGATGAGGCCTCAGTGTGGAAGTCCCGTCCCAGTCATGTATTGTCCGCCAGGATCTGGCTGGACGAAATAAAATGCAAATCACAAAATATTAGAGAAACGTAGTTGTTTTAGATTCGTTAGTAGTAGTTGTGGTAGGAGTGTGGATCTATATAATGAACAGCTTGCCTGCTAATATGCTAACCTAGCTTTGTTTACCTTGGTAGCTAACACGATATGAACGTTAGCTTGGAGGAAGCAACTATAATGTAGTGTAATAAAACTACTATGAACAAAAGCTAGTGGTTCATATTAGGCTAGCAAAAACGTGTTTATAATTGCAATATTATACGGGTAGTCTGCTACGTTCGGTCATACATTGTAACTTGCATGAATACATTGTTTTGCGCTAGTATACAGCTAGCCTCGTTAGCTATACATGTACATGTACTGTCACAATGTACGGTAAATCACCCGGAGTATACTGTATGAGTATTCCGTGTGTGTGACTGCAGACATTCTCCTGCCATGACAAACATGTAAGGCCATCTGCTGACATTGTAGTTGATATATTTAAACGCTAGCAACGTAGCATCACAAAAATGTTTTTCCGACCAAACCTAGGTCTAGCTCCGTGGGTTAGATCGGTAGCATACACGCTACGCCAGCTATAATGTAATTACGTTTCGCGACTGACCGCACGGCAAATCACCAGGAGTATACTGTCAATAGGTATTTCGTGTGTGAATGCAGACATTCTCCTGCTATGAGATACATGTATGCAAGGCCATCTGCTGATATTAGAGTTGATATATGGAAACGCTAGCAACTTAGTTAGCACAGTTAGCACTGTGTCAATGGCTTAGCAGTCCAACACAGTTTACACATTTAAACAGTCTTGTTTGATAAATACACAAATAACAATGCAAACTTACAGGTTGTGTACCAGAATCTTCCCCTGCTCCAAACGGTCCAAACAAGCTAGGAATAGCATCGTCCTTCAGTTTCAAATGCTGTGCATATCCGGCCTCAAACTGGGCAATGTTTTGGAAGCTTTCGTCTGTGAAATGCCGGTTCTTCGAACCTCTGAAGGAGCAGTGTTAAAAATAAATTTCAACCACTGACTTCGTCGTGGTTCTTCCGTCGGTAGGACAAACAGCTCAGATTTCTCCTCACATTTCAGGAAACAGGTCCTTGGCAGTGGCATGACTGGATCGATTGTGAACTGAACCAGAGCTTCCAACAGTAAATGTTAGGCTGGCAGAGGGTGCGGCCAGCGCCGCTGGGTGTGGCCATAGCTCTTCGGGATTGGTCCATTTCGTTCCGGGTACCGCATGACATCAGGCGGTACCCGGAAGAATCAGATGGGCAGTGACGTATCTCCAACGAGGCGTTTTGGGGAGGTATTTTCTGTGTTAGAGTTTTACTCGTTACAGGGTGTACTTTGAGGGTTTTGACTCTGCACACCGTTTACATGCATAAAAACCTTCATAACACAAGGGGACGGGTAATAACCGGAAAAGCATGACATGGGAGCTTTAAGACACTTTCTATTGTGTGATTTGGTGGCATCAATGTGTGCATTAGATGCAGATGATGGAGCAGAACTTTAGGGCCTCATATACAGTTTAGTAATGTCAAGTAATGAGACCCCCCACATCACATCAGATCCCACTTTACCCCCTGGGGCAGGGCTTCAATCGTCTGTTGGTACTTTGAGCACTTCAGAGTCACGCTGTGTATAGAGACGGCCCTGTGATATATAATAGGTGAGCTTTACAGAGGGTTAGGGAGGAGGAGCCTGAAAGCTCAGGGGATACAACTCTCTGTAAGGCTGTGAGTGTGTGTGTGTGTGTGTGTGTGTGTGTGTGTGTGTGTGTGTGTGTGTGTGTGTGTGTGTGTGTGTGTGTGTGTGTGTGTGTGTGTGTGTGTGTGTGTGTGTGTGTGTGTGTAACGTTAAACCTTTTATTTGATGTGTTTTCAGTCAGGCACTGAACAGGACGCCTCTCTCTCTGTGATCTTTCTCCCGCCCCCACGAGCCGCGTCCAATCATACGTCTGCTCGGCCCTGAGAGCTCTTCTGATTGGCCGCAGCTCGGGAGAGGCAGGAGCTCAGCTCGGCACGTGATTGGCGGGATGTCGCGTCACTCAGATGGCCTCGCGGCTGGAGTATAAAGCGAAAGGATCGGGTTCTGGAGCGAGAAGAAGTAGCTAGCCTTAGCTTAGAGCTAACATGTAATATAACACACACATTAACACACCAAACACACACACTCACACACTCACTCACACGCACGGTGCACTGCAGGAGCGCGCTCTCACGCACTTTTTATTAAGCTGTGTGTGTGCAACAGAACTTCCTGCATGTTGGCAGGACGGGGCTAGCTGCAGAAGCTAACTGTTTACCAGGTTAGCTTTAATTATTCATGAGGGCGCTCCGTGATTGGTGGAGGCAGCGGAAGGGGCGGGGCTAGAGAAGAAGCGGTGAACTGTTCCTCCAGACAGTGAGTAAAAAAAGTACTAAAATACACTGTAAACATACTGAGTATATCAGTATAACTACTAATACTACACTGTACACATACTGTGTATATCAGTATATCTGCTAATACTACACTGTACACATACTCTCTATATATCAGTATAACTACTAATACTACACTGTACACATACTGTGTATATCAGTATATCTGCTAATACTACACTGTACACATACTCTCTATATATCAGTATAACTACTAATACTACACTGTGAATATACTCTATATATCAGTATAACTACTAATACTACACTGTACACATACTGTGTATATCAGTATAACTACTAATACTACACTGTACACATACTCTCTATATATCAGTATAACTACTAATACTACACTGTGAACATACTGTGTATAACTACTAATACTACACTGTACACATACTGTGTATAACTACTAATACTACACTGTGAACATACTGTGTATAACTACTAATACTACACTGTGAACATACTGTGTATAACTACTAATACTACACTGTACACATACTGTGTATAACTACTAATACTACACTGTGAACATACTGTGTATAACTACTAATACTACACTGTACACATACTGTGTATAACTACTAATACTACACTGTACACATACTGTGTATAACTACTAATACTACACTGTACACATACTGTGTATAACTACTAATACTACACTGTGAACATACTGTGTATAACTACTAATACTACACTGTGAACATACTGTGTATAACTACTAATACTACACTGTACACATACTGTGTATAACTACTAATACTACACTGTACACATACTGTGTATAACTACTAATACTACACTGTACACATACTGTGTATAACTACTAATACTACACTGTACACATACTGTGTATAACTACTAATACTACACTGTACACATACTGTGTATAACTACTAATACTACACTGTGAACATACTGTGTATAACTACTAATACTACACTGTGAACATACTGTGTATAACTACTAATACTACACAGTACACATACTGTGTACAACTACTAATACTACACTGTGAACATACTGTGTATAACTACTAATACTACACTGTACACATACTGTGTATAACTACTAATACTACACTGTGAACATACTGTGTATAACTACTAATACTACACTGTACACATACTGTGTATAACTACTAATACTACACTGTACACATACTGTGTATAACTACTAATACTACACTGTGAACATACTGTGTATAACTACTAATACTACACTGTGAACATACTGTGTATAACTACTAATACTACACTGTACACATACTGTGTATAACTACTAATACTACACTGTACACATACTGTGTATAACTACTAATACTACACTGTACACATACTGTGTACTTCAGTAGAAGATCTTAAACCTGTTAATATACTTTTAAGCTCTTATAGTACACAGTGAACTTTCCAAAGTATCTGGAGTGAGATTCATTTCATTTGAATCTAAAAGTTCATCTAATAAAGTGTAAAGAGTAAAATGTACATATTATATAGTAAGTAAAGTTATCGCATTCGTGTTTCCATATTGCTGATTATATTATATATTAATTGGTTTGTTAAAGTCCTGATGAATCTGATTGGCTCCGCCCCCTGTCCGTCACACTGACCCCTCTCTCTGTGATTGGCTGGTGTGTCCACAGGAGGAAGATGATCAGGATGTCATTGGACACAGAGACTGTCCTCCCTCATGAGGTCAGTCCCGCCGCTGTCAGCCTATCAGAGCAGTCGCAGCTGGCCAAGTCCCGCCCCCTACATGCCAAGAACGGCCTCCAGTTGCCCGGCAACAGCCATCCTGCCCCCGCCGGAGCTCAGCGAATCGCAAAGCGACGTTACTCGATGGGCGTCGGCTTCAAGGGGCTGGCCAAGCGTCGCCGGCGGGCCAACAGCGACAGCCAATCAGAATCCGTGCTGCCGAGCAACTTCCTGCTGGGCGGGAACATCTTCGACCCGCTGAACCTCAACTCACTATTGGACGAGGACGTCAACAGGTGAGGGACTTATTTAGTGAAACAGTGAGACCTCGTTACGGACAGCAAGACCGTTGGTTTCATATCCAAGCTTTCTAAAATGCTATGTTTAAATATGCTAATGAGGCTTTATGTGATGCTCACCCTCAACATTCACTCCTGTTCTCTCAGGGCGACCAATCAGGAGACACCAAAGTGCTCGCCCCTGCCGCTGCGTGGCGGAGACCCTGTAGAGATCCTGGTTCCCCGTGACATCACAGACCCCCTGAACCTGAAGGGGGGGGGCTTGGGGGGAGGTGAGGGAGGGGGGGTGCTGCTCTCCCCCCTGAAGAAGAGGAGGCACAGGACCAGGCACCATGGGGGGGGAGGGGGGGGAGAGAGGGCAGGGGGGGGGGGCGTACCTGCCCGGCTGTTCAGCTCCTCGGCCACTCTCACAGGTGAGCAGCACTAAAGGCACCTGACAGGTGTTCATGTGTTTAAATATGCGTCTGGGTCGCACAGCTGGGAAGTAGTGGAGTACAAATACTTTGTTACTGTACTTAAGTACATGTTTCTGGTATCAGTACTTTACTCCACTACTTATTACTTTGACTTCTTACATGTTGAACACAAATACCTGTACTTTCTACTTCTTACATGTTGAACCCAAATACCTGTACTTTCTACTTCTTACATGTTGAACACAAATACCTGTACTTTCTACTTCTTACATGTTGAACCCAAATACCTGTACTTTCTACTTCTTACATGTTGAACCCAAATACCTGTACTTTCTACTTCTTACATGTTGAACCCAAATACCTGTACTTTCTACTTCTTACATGTTGAACACAAATACCTGTACTTTCTACTTCTTACATGTTGAACACAAATACCTGTACTTTCTACTTCTTACATGTTGAACCCAAATACCTGTACTTTCTACTTCTTACATGTTGAACACAAATACCTGTACTTTCTACTTCTTACATGTTGAACACAAATACCTGTACTTTCTACTTCTTACATGTTGAACACAAATACCTGTACTTTCTACTTCTTACATGTTGAACACAAATACCTGTACTTTCTACTTCTTACATGTTGAACCCAAATACCTGTACTTTCTACTTCTTACATGTTGAACACAAATACCTGTACTTTCTACTTCTTACATGTTGAACACAAATACCTGTACTTTCTACTTCTTACATGTTGAACACAAATACCTGTACTTTCTACTTCTCACATGTTGAACACAAATACCTGTACTTTCTACTTCTCACATGTTGAACACAAATACCTGTACTTTCTACTTCTTACATGTTGAACACAAATACCTGTACTTTCTACTTCTTACATGTTGAACACAAATACCTGTACTTTCTACTTCTTACATTTTGAACACAAATACCTGTACTTTCTACTTCTTACATGTTGAACACAAATACCTGTACTTTCTACTTCTTACATGTTGAACACAAATACCTGTACTTTCTACTTCTTACATGTTGAACACAAATACCTGTACTTTCTACTTCTTACATGTTGAACACAAATACCTGTACTTTCTACTTCTTACATGTTGAACTCAAATACCTGTACTTTCTACTTCTTACATGTTGAACCCAAATACCTGTACTTTCTACTTCTTACATGTTGAACTCAAATACCTGTACTTTCTACTTCTTACATGTTGAACACAAATACCTGTACTTTCTACTTCTTACATGTTGAACACAAATACCTGTACTTTCTACTTCTTACATGTTGAACACAAATACCTGTACTTTCTACTTCTTACATGTTGAACACAAATACCTGTACTTTCTACTTCTTACATGTTGAACCCAAATACCTGTACTTTCTACTTCTTACATGTTGAACCCAAATACCTGTACTTTCTACTTCTTACATGTTGAACACAAATACCTGTACTTTCTACTTCTCACATTTCCCAAACAGCTGGTTCCTTTAGTTTGAATGTGTGTTTGGTGGCGTGATCATTATTATTTAGAGTCATTGCGTGCCTATTGATTTGAACACGATCCGTGTATCCATCATTTCCTGGTCTTCTCTAAAGAAGAGGGACCAATGAAAACGTTGTCATGTTGCCGTTGTTCAGCATGGAAACATTCATTAGCTAACAATGACATTATTGTTCTATTAATATAAAGGGAGGTCAGGTACTCTTTAAAACAGCTGCTAGTTATGGGTACTTTTTACTGAAGTACATTTCAAAGCCCTCTTTACTTTGACTTGAGTAAAGAAGTTTAGTCAGTACTTCTACTTTTACCAGAGTATTTTAAACACGAGTATCTGTACTTCTACTTGAGTAAAGGATGTGTGTACTTCTACTTGAGTAAAGGATGTGTGTACTTCTACTCGAGTAAAGGATGTGTGTACTTCTACTCGAGTAAAGGATGTGTGTACCTCTGCTGTGTTGCAGTTCCCCTGCTGACCAGAGAGGGCGGAGTCTCTGCGTCTCCACTGCCCTGTGAGCTGAACACTGCCATCACCTGTCGGGACGACGTGGCCCCGCCCCCTATCCTCCCCCGCAGACACACCCACCCCCTGCCCGGTAACCTGGGCGATGGTCATCAGCGGAGACGGCGCCGCACCACCTCCATCAGGTCGTCCGACTGTGCCGCCATGGCAACCACCGCAACCAGGGCTCAGCCAACCAGATTTGAGACTCCGCTGGTGGGAGGGGCTAAAGCCGGCAGGTGTGTTTTCTTCGGTTTAAATTATAAAGACTGTACTTTTTATGTATTATATCCTTTATTCCTCAAAGTAAACCGGCTTGTTCTTAAAGTGTACCGACTTGTTCTCAAAGTGTACCGACTTGTTCCTAAAGTGTACCGACTTGTTCTCAAAGTGTACCGACTTGTTTTCAAAGAGTACCGACTTGTTCTCAAAGAGTACCGACTTGTTCTCAAAGTGTACCGACTTGTTCTCAAAGTGTACCGACTTGTTCTCAAAGTGTACCGACTTGTTCTCAAAGTGTACCGACTTGTTCTCAAAGAGTACCGACTTGTTCTCAAAGAGTACCGACTTGTTCTCAAGGTGTACCGACTTGTTCTCAGAGTGTACCGACTTGTTCTCAAAGTGTACCGACTTGTTCTCAGAGTGTACCGACTTGTTCTCAGAGTGTACCGACTTGTTCTCAAAGAGTACCGACTTGTTCTCAGAGTGTACCGACTTGTTCTCAGAGTGTACCGACTTGTTCTCAGAGTGTACCGACTTGTTCTCAAAGAGTACCGACTTGTTCTCAAAGAGTACCGACTTGTTCTCAAAGTGTACCGACTTGTTCTCAAAGTGTACCGACTTGTTCTCAAAGTGTACCGACTTGTTCTCAAAGAGTACCGACTTGTTCCTAAAGTGTACCGACTTGTTCTCAGAGTGTACCGACTTGTTCTCAAAGAGTACCGACTTGTTCTCAGAGTGTACCGACTTGTTCTCAGAGAGTACCGACTTGTTCTCAGAGAGTACCGACTTGTTCTCAAAGAGTACCGACTTGTTCTCAGAGAGTACCGACTTGTTTTCAAAGAGTACCGACTTGTTCTCAAAGAGTACCGACTTGTTCTCAGAGTGTACTGACTTGTTCTCAAAGAGTACCGACTTGTTCTCAAAGAGTACCGACTTGTTCTCAAAGAGTACCGACTTGTTCTCAAAGAGTACCGACTTGTTCTCAAAGTGTACCGACTTGTTTTCAAAGTGTACCGACTTGTTCTCAGAGTGTACCGACTTGTTCTCAAAGAGTACCGACTTGTTCTCAAAGAGTACCGACTTGTTCTCAAAGTGTACCGACTTGTTCTCAGAGTGTACCGACTTGTTCTCAAAGAGTACAGACTTGTTCCTAAAGTGTACCGACTTGTTCTCAGAGTGTACCGACTTGTTCCTAAAGTGTACCGACTTGTTCCCAAAGAGTACCGACTTGTTCTCAAAGTGTACCGACTTGTTCTCAAAGAGTAGAGACTTGTTCTCAAAGAGTACCGACTTGTTCTCAAAGTGTACCGACTTGTTTTCAAAGTGTACCGACTTGTTCTCAGAGTGTACCGACTTGTTCTCAAAGAGTACCGACTTGTTCTCAAAGAGTACCGACTTGTTCTCAAAGTGTACCGACTTGTTCTCAGAGTGTACCGACTTGTTCTCAAAGAGTACAGACTTGTTCCTAAAGTGTACCGACTTGTTCTCAGAGTGTACCGACTTGTTCCTAAAGTGTACCGACTTGTTCCCAAAGAGTACCGACTTGTTCTCAAAGTGTACCGACTTGTTCTCAAAGAGTACAGACTTGTTCCTAAAGAGTACCGACTTGTTCTCAAAGAGTACCGACTTGTTCTCAAAGTGTACCGACTTGTTTTCAAAGTGTACCGACTTGTTCTCAAAGTGTACCGACTTGTTCTCAAAGAGTACCGACTTGTTCCTAAAGTGTACCGACTTGTTCTCAGAGTGTACCGACTTGTTCTCAAAGAGTACCGACTTGTTCTCAGAGAGTACCGACTTGTTCTCAGAGAGTACCGACTTGTTCTCAGAGAGTACCGACTTGTTTTCAAAGAGTACCGACTTGTTCTCAGAGAGTACCGACTTGTTCTCAGAGTGTACCGACTTGTTCTCAAAGAGTACCGACTTGTTCTCAAAGAGTACAGACTTGTTCTCAAAGTGTACAGACTTGTTCTCAAAGAGTACCGACTTGTTCTCAAAGTGTACCGACTTGTTCTCAAAGAGTACCGACTTGTTCTCAGAGTGTACCGACTTGTTCTCAAAGAGTACCGACTTGTTCTCAAAGTGTACCGACTTGTTCTCAGAGAGTACCGACTTGTTCTCAAAGTGTACCGACTTGTTCTCAAAGAGTACAGACTTGTTCCTAAAGTGTACAGACTTGTTCTCAAAGAGTACCGACTTGTTCTCAAAGAGTACCGACTTGTTCTCAAAGTGTACCGACTTGTTCTCAAAGAGTACCGACTTGTTCTCAGAGTGTACCGACTTGTTCTCAAAGAGTACCGACTTGTTCTCAAAGTGTACCGACTTGTTCTCAAAGAGTACCGACTTGTTCTCAAAGTGTACCGACTTGTTCTCAAAGAGTACCGACTTGTTCTCAGAGTGTACCGACTTGTTCTCAAAGAGTACCGACTTGTTCTCAAAGTGTACCGACTTGTTCTCAGAGAGTACCGACTTGTTCTCAGAGAGTACCGACTTGGACTTGTTTAGTATACCTAAACCGACTTTTTAGTATTGCGATGTTTGCCTTAAACATTGAATGTTACACCCAAGTGAAACGCTGTGATCTGATTGGCCGTTGGCTGCAGGTGTGGAGGCGCTCAGTCCGGCTCCGCTCATCCACCACAGAAGAAGAAGAAAGACAAACACCGCTACCAGCACGGCAACCACAGCCGTTACTACGGTTACCAGGGTTTCTATGGAGACGGGTGTGAGGGGCACGTAGGACCGCAGGACGACCCGAGACTCCGCCTCCTGCGATCTGATTGGTTCAGAGACAGGACGGTGCTGGACATTGGATGCGGCACCGGTCACATGACGCTCGCCGTCGCCCGCAGGTTTAACCCCGCCCACATCCTAGGGGTGGAGCTTAACGAGAGGCTGGTCCATGCAGCCAATCAGAACATCAGACACTTCATGTCACATGACCTGGTGCTGGAGGAGAGGAGGAGGAGGAGGGAGGAAGAGGAGAAGATGGAGGATATTGAGGAGGTGGTGGAGAAAGAGGAGGTGATGGAGGCCTCCCTCCTCTCCCTCCCCCTGTCCCTCCCCCTCTCTCTCCCCCTCTCCTTCAGGGTGAGTCGGGGTCCTCTCTCAGCTCCTCCCCTGCTCCTCCCCCCCTCCTCCTCCTCCAGGTTCCCTCACAACGTCACCTTCATCCAGGTGAGTCTCTGCTCTACATCCTGTTTATAAACACACACTGTGACATCACAGTGACATCACAGTGACATCACCCGGCTCCTCCAATAGGGCGACTACGTGTCACTGCAGGAGGTGTGGCCTGGGCGGGGCCAGTATGATGTCATCATGTGTCTGAACGTGACCAAGTGGGTGCAGCTTCACTCAGGTGACGGGGGCGTGGCCACGTTGTTCAGACGAGCCTATCAGAGCCTGGCGCCGGGCGGGTTGCTCATCCTGCAGCCGCAGCCGTGGAGCAGCTACTGCCGCAGCAAGAGAGCCTCGGTAACCTGGTTTGAATATTTAGCGTGTATGTATGTATATATATATACATATATACATATACATATATATATATATATATATATATATATGTATTTATGTATACAGTACATAAATACTAAATACAAAAATATATGTGTGTGTGTGTGTTGTTTCAGGAGAGGACGTGTGACGCATTCAGGACTCTGAGGTTCAGACCTGAGCAGTTCACCTGGTACCTGACAGAGAGAGAGGGGTTCAGCTCCTACAGGACGCTCACACACACAGGTACACACACACACACACACACACACACTCAGTACCTGACAGAGAGAGAGGGGTTCAGCTCCTACAGGACGCTCACACACACAGGTACACACACACACACACACACACACACACACACACACTCAGTACCTGACAGAGAGAGAGGGGTTCAGCTCCTACAGGACGCTCACACACACAGGTACACACACACACACACACACACACACACACACACACACACACACACACACACACACACACACACAGCACCTGACAGAGAGAGAGGGGTTCAGCTCCTACAGGACGCTCACACACACAGGTCAGGTCGGGAGGGCTGATCATTTATTCCGGCAAATGACTCAGACCTACTAATTGACCTAACAGAAGTTATTGAGTCTCTGTAAGTTTACTGCTTGGCTCAGATCCACCAACGTCAGCAAGATCTCACCTCTATTAACTCCTGAAGAACCAGGTTCAATGAACTGCTGTTTCAATTCAGACGACCCTCTAAATCTGTTGAAGCGATCCTGAAGGATTCTGATATCAGTAATGAGGTGTGGCCCTACCTAAGTGTGAGTGTGGCAGTGTGCAATCTCACCTTTGAAGCAGGAGAGGAGAGCGCACATGTCTTTCAAGTTGTCCCAATCCAAAAGGTGGGATCAGTTTATTTGAAGAAAAATAGGTCCACACTTGAACAGGGTTTTTACCTTCTCTCGTTACAACATTATAATCATACTAAACATATCATGCTGTGATCATGTTCTAATGTGAAACTTTAATTCACAGTTTTACATTTATTACACTAAATTGTAACTTCAACTGCCCAATTCAGTTGTGACATTTAAAATCTCCCGACAGAATTTAGAGGCATCTCCTCATAAATGACCGGTGATAATAAAAAGCACATTCAAACTTTCATTCACCAAATCAGTTCATTTTCTCATTTCCACATTCATATACTTCAACTAGTCCCGCATGAATTCAGAGGACCTTTCCTCACAGGTGGCAGGGTACTAACTTTCAACAAACATCAATTCATTCCACTCATTTCACAAAGAAATTCACTCAGCATTCAACAAAGAAATTCGAGAGATATTTACCAAGTTTGAGAGAACCTTACCGAGAGCAAAACCCCAGCTCCCAGGGAGAGTATACCAGGGGAACCCCCCCCCCCCCCCCCCTCTCTCCAGTCTGCTCCCTCTCTACCAGTGTCTTTATGCTCAAAAACAGGACAGAGAAACCTAAAGACCCCTCCTCCATACCCATATCTGTGGAAACTGGGCATCTGATGCACAGGACTGGACATGACCAGACATATTCTATGGCTCTGGCATAAGACACACCTTCCCATGTTTGTGTAAAAAGGTCATGACCCCTACTCTGCAGGACAAAACCTTTTTGGGGCCTCAGTGTATTTCTCCTTAAGTCAGGAGCCCCCCCCCCCCTGTGTACTGCTGTGAGGGGAGAGAGAAGAAACTGCCTCTCCTCTTATCAGTGACACCCATAAACCATTACAGGCCTTACACTCTCAATTTAACAAACCACTTTGTTTATACTGTAAATATAGAACATCATAAAATATGAAGCATTTTCATTTTGGGTTAAACAAGAATATAATTGATTATATTTGATTATAATTAACTTTCGTTTTAATTATTCATCCTAATGTGAAGATCTCAACAGTACACACACACACACACACACACACACACACACACACACACAGTCACTAATCGTTGCTGTGTGTCTTCAGGTGACGAGCGGCCGATCTACCTGTTCAACAAAGGCCCCGCCCACAGGAAGTGACAGCCTCTCTCCGATTGGTCTTTTTGTATTTGACTTTGAGCTCGCAGCTGATTGGCTGAGCAGCCGATGGCTTCGCATCACAGAGGAGAAAGAACTCTGATTGGACCGCAGTGTTTCTGTGACTGTGATTGGCTGCCAGAGCAACAGATTGTGACTTCTGATTGGACGCTGACAGGAAGTGACACGTGTGCAGGTCGACCTGAAAACCTTTTATTGTTTGTAAAAATAAAGAGAATTTATGTGTGTGTGGATCTGAGTCGTGTCTTTGTGTGTGTGTGTGTGTGTGTCTTTGTGTGTGTCTTTGTGTGTGTGTGTGTGTGTGTGTGTGTGTGTGTGTGTGTGTGTGTGTGTGTGTGTGTGTGTGTGTGTGTGTGTGTGTGTGTGTGTGTGTGTGTGTGTGTGTGTGTGTGTGTGTGTGTGTGTGTGTGTCTTTGTGTGTGTGTGTGTGTGTGTGTGTGTGTGTGTGTGTGTGTGTGTGTGTGTGTGTGTGTGTGTGTGTGTGTGTGTGTGTGTGTGTGTGTGTGTGTGTGTGTGTGTGTGTCCAGCAGAGGGCGCTGTGACCTCACTCTTCACCCTCCTGGAACACTTCCTTCTCCTCTCAGTGTATGAAGGTAGATATGGTGCAAAGTGCGAGAGCGTGTAAAACCTGAATCAACGGTAAGTGTTGCCCATTACTTCCCCAGTATTACTTTGGATATTATTATTGTGATTGAGGATTAAATCCGCTTTGAAGACCACCGTTTTATATCGTGCAGTTTAGCGGCAAAATAACGTCAGTTAGCCAGCTAACGCTAGCTTTGCTGAGACCAGTGTCCGACCCCTGAAGAGGGGAGGGGGCGTTGGGTGGCGCTGAGACCAGTGTAACCCTGTAAAATAAAATGAAATAATTAAAATGAAATAACATAAGAAGTCAGACCAAATGAAGGGATGGTCTCTGAATATGTTGAGGTGGGCTTGAATAAGTGGAATGAAGGCATAGTGGCAGCAAAATATGTGCAGTGCATCCTGGAGACTGCTGGTTGTGTCTACACGGTGCATTGAGGACCGAACCCTCTCCCTCTATGTCCCTGCATTTGGGTTGCTGGTACTGGTTACTGACACAAGGGAGTCAAGTTGCTCATCAGTCAAGCTACTGTACTGTTCCCTAACACTTATCATTCTGTCATGCCTGTGAACTGGACGCCTTGAACCTCCCAACAGCCTGCCAATGCATGTCACCGGTAATCCCAAGTTAATAAGGATTGTTGTGTATTCCTCATGGATCAGTGACCCTAACTCCCCTGCTCTTGTGCAACCATTGTGGGTGTTATGGTTTGATTTTGGGTGCAGACCATTTCATGCAATTGGGACATCAAGTACTTCCTGGGGAGTCTGTACTTGGCTTGAAATTGCATTGAGAAAGACAAGCTCTTGGGAACACACAGATTCCAGATAGTCCATATCAAGGGGAACTCGATTAAGCCACATATGTAGTCGGGTTTTAAGCCTTTGGAATAAATGGTCCAGCAGCAATTCCTGAAAAATAAATATCTGAGTTATTGGTATTCTGTCTTCAAGAATACGCATTTCCCCATTCCACATGAAACCTTATGGATAACCAAAATATAACCCCCGCCCGCCCAATCACAATAATAATATTCAAAGTAACAACCGGCACATTTCGGTTTCTCCCGATGCAGCCGAGGAGATTTCTCACCGCAGTTTCAATGTCTTTATAATTTACAAAGGCTTTAAAAACACAGCAGGATCCAAAGACAATTATAAAACGTGTCTTTATTTCAGTTCAATTGGTGCCAAAGCAGGAGGCTATAATATATGAATTACTGCTGTAGAGACTAGAGACTACAACCACTACTTGTTTAGCTAGCATAAACTCAACAAAGCTAGCGCTAGCTCGCTAACTGACGTTATTTTGCCGCTAAACTGCACGATATAAAACGGTGGTCATGAACAATATGGACACTTCATACAGACTCTGTTCCTCATGAACAATAAGGACACTTCATACAGACTCTGCTCCTCATGAACAACAAGGACACTTCATACAGACTCTGTTCCTCATGAACAATAAGGACACTTCATACAGACTCTGTTCCTCATGAACAATAAGGACACTTCATACAGACTCTGCTCCTCATGAACAACAAGGACACTTCATACAGACTCTGTTCCTCATGAACAATAAGGACACTTCATACAGACTCTGTTCATCATGAACAATAAGGACACTTCATACAGACTCTGTTCATGAACAATAAGGACACTTCATACAGACTCTGTTCATGAACAATAAGGACACTTCATACAGACTCTGTTCCTCATGAACAATAAGGACACTTCATACAGACTCTGTTCATGAACAATAAGGACACTTCATACAGACTCTGTTCCTCATGAACAATAAGGACACTTCATACAGACTCTGTTCCTCATGAACAATATGGACACTTCATACAGACTCTGTTCATCATGAACAATAAGGACACTTCATACAGACTCTGTTCATCATGAACAATAAGGACACTTCATACAGACTCTGTTCATCATGAACAATAAGGACACTTCATACAGACTCTGTTCCTCATGAACAATAAGGACACTTCATACAGACTGTTCATCATGAACAATAAGGACACTTCATACAGACTCTGTTCCTCATGAACAATAAGGACACTTCATACAGACTCTGTTCATGAACAATAAGGACACTTCATACAGACTCTGTTCATCATGAACAATAAGGACACTTCATACAGACTCTGTTCATGAACAATAAGGACACTTCATACAGACTCTGTTCCTCATGAACAATAAGGACACTTCATACAGACTCTGTTCATGAACAATAAGGACACTTCATACAGACTCTGTTCATGAACAATAAGGACACTTCATACAGACTCTGTTCATGAACAATAAGGACACTTCATACAGACTCTGTTCCTCATGAACAATAAGGACACTTCATACAGACTCTGTTCCTCATGAACAATAAGGACACTTCATACAGACTCTGTTCCTCATGAACAATAAGGACACTTCATACAGACTCTGCTCCTCATGAACAATATGGACACTTCATACAGACTCTGTTCATCATGAACAATATGGACACTTCATACAGACTCTGTTCCTCATGAACAATAAGGACACTTCATACAGACTCTGCTCCTCATGAACAATAAGGACACTTCATACAGACTCTGTTCCTCATGAACAATATGGACACTTCATACAGACTCTGTTCCTCATGAACAATAAGGACACTTCATACAGACTCTGTTCATCATGAACAATAAGGACACTTCATACAGACTCTGTTCATCATGAACAATAAGGACACTTCATACAGACTCTGTTCCTCATGAACAATAAGGACACTTCATACAGACTCTGTTCCTCATGAACAATAAGGACACTTCATACAGACTCTGTTCCTCATGAACAATAAGGACACTTCATACAGACTCTGTTCCTCATGAACAATAAGGACACTTCATACAGACTCTGTTCCTCATGAACAATAAGGACACTTCATACAGACTCTGTTCATCATGAACAATAAGGACACTTCATACAGACTCTGTTCCTCATGAACAATATGGACACTTCATACAGACTCTGTTCCTCATGAACAATAAGGACACTTCATACAGACTCTATTCATGAACAATAAGGACACTTCATACAGACTCTGTTCCTCATGAACAATAAGGACACTTCATACAGACTCTGTTCCTCATGAACAATATGGACACTTCATACAGACTCTGTTCCTGAACAATAAGGACACTTCATACAGACTCTGTTCATGAACAATATGGACACTTCATACAGACTCTGTTCATGAACAATATGGACACTTCATACAGACTCTGTTCCTCATGAACAATAAGGACACTTCATACAGACTGTTCATGAACAATAAGGACACTTCATACAGACTCTGTTCATGAACAATAAGGACACTTCATACAGACTCTGTTCATCATGAACAATATGGACACTTCATACAGACTCTGTTCCTCATGAACAATAAGGACACTTCATACAGACTCTGTTCATGAACAATATGGACACTTCATACAGACTCTGTTCATCATGAACAATAAGGACACTTCATACAGACTCTGTTCCTCATGAACAATAAGGACACTTCATACAGACTCTGTTCATGAACAATAAGGACACTTCATACAGACTCTGTTCCTCATGAACAATAAGGACACTTCATACAGACTCTGTTCCTCATGAACAATAAGGACACTTCATACAGACTCTGGTTGCGTTCGAATACTCCAAAAAATCAGCTCCTAAGTTCTAACCCTATCGTCTATTCCTTAACCTCTGAGTGAAAGGTCACAGGGTTAAGGGATAGTGGATAGGAGAATTCAAAAGGACTTAGGAGAAGAGACTGCGGCACTTTAGAGAATCGACTGCACTTTCACTATCCGACGTGTTTATGATGCGCCAGCAGAGGTCATAAATGTGCGCCTGCTGCTGTGGGGAAACTATGGAAACTACAGTTTTCTATACAGCGGACTACAACATGGATGTTTAATAAGAACGAGGGACTACTGTAAACTCATCTAGAGACTCTGCACCGTGCTCTGATGCTGTTATGCTTTATGAACGTGGACAACAGAGAAACATATTCTTCATGACCAAAGTTGGAATTGAAATAAAAAAGGAAAGTGAAACTTATGCTCATCACCCTCTCCCTCCGGTCCACATTAATACAAATGATCCCAATACATATGATTGTATGAAAAGATCTTCAAATCAATACAAATGTATTTATTATAAACGTTAGTCCTTAACATCTATCACTGTGTATATCACCATTCAAACATCTTTTCAAAGTTGAACAAACCCCACACAGCTCAGTAAAGACTGTGAAATGTTGACTTTATTTGATCATTTCAGTAAAAACTAACGTTCATATTTCTCTTTTTGATTATAATACTGATGAACGTTCAAAAACAAAGCACTTTGGCAACTTACCACATACGTTTTAAAATGCTTAATAAGCACCGTAACTTTCATGATATCATTTCTCGTTCATAATCGGTTGTTTCCGTGAACGGCCGACTGTTGTGTGACGGCAAATGCTGCGGCCGCAAGGCATTGTGGGGCAGCATTTTCTCCTCTCCTTTCGGTTAGGGAGGTCCAGTGGTTCCTAGGCTAAAGGAGGTTATAAAGGAAGTTTGAAACCTCCTTTCCTTTTAATTTAGAGAATTCGAACGGCA